AGTGTATTAAGGGCCGTTTTTAACGGGATTGCGATCCCAAAAAGTGTGCTTTGATTGGACAAAAATTCATGCGGAAAAGGGTTATTTTGAAGATTACACAATCGCGAAAATCCGAGGTAGAGATCGCGCGCTGCGAGGGATCGCGAGATCGCAAAGCCACTGGAGAATAAAACAATGGTAGGTCCAGGCTGGATGGTAAATTTGCAAGCCACTCAGGGCCACCGCCGGCTTCTCTTTGTCGCCCTGGTTGGGGCGGCTATTGTCGAAGCACCACAGCAGCGAGAAGCGTGCGTTTTCCGTCGTCGTTTGGACAGGAACGTTCACAAGCAGACACTGTTGCTGGAAGGCCAATTCAAAAGATGCTACCGCATGGAAGCTTCGTCTTTTGAGCTGTTGCTATCGTTGATTAGGCCCACACTAGCCCGTGACGAGATCAAGTCGACGAATCAAACAGGAGCCGACCCAATAGAGCCTGAGAACATGCTACAAATGACACTTTCTTGGCTAGCCGGAGGCAACTACATGACTATTCGTGGTTTGGCTGGCATGTCTCCCTCTGGAATCTATGGATGTATGCATGCTGTTATGGACGCCATATGCCACTGTCCTGAGCTGCGCATTCATTCTCCAACGGAGTCACAAGAACGCATCCACGACCTTGCCGAGAGCTTTACAAACATCAGCAAAGATGGCGTTTTGACGGGTTGTGTCGGGTGCATTGACGGGTGGCTGTGTCATATTCGCGCCCCAAGCCCCAACGAGGTTCCAGATGTAGCTGCATTCTTCTCGGGCCATTATCAGAAGTTCGGAGTCAATGTTCAAGCCATTTGTGACGCGTTCTCCCGCTTCACAGGCTATTGCATGAATTCCCCGGGGAAGGTCGGTGATTCAATTGCGTACAAGAAGTGGCCGCTCAGCAAGGAGATCATGCAGCTTCCAGTTGGGTTTTATTTAGTTGGCGACAACGCGTACCCGTTGTCCGACTCGCTGCTCGTACCATTCAACAAGTTGGAGCTCAAAAGCCGAAAGCACTCCGACTTCAATTTCTATCTGAGCCAATTGCGCATTCGCATTGAAATGGCTTTCGGTCTGTTGGTCAACAAGTGGGGTATCTTCAAGCGCGCTTTGGTTGTGGATTTTGTGAACGTGAATAAGGTGATCAAGACGTGCATGAAGCTGCATAACTTTTGCATTGACGAGAGAATTAAAAATGAAGAGAGCGCAAAGAGACTTCAAGTTGTGTCGATGGAGTACCACAACTTGCCCGAGAGCGAGTATCAGCCGACAGACAATTCTGAATCTACTGTTGGCTTACGTAATGACGCTCAGGGGCCCATTCTTCGTGAAGTGGTTGTCGATCATATTCAGTGTTGTGGGCTCCAGCGGCCCAAACGTCGGCACAGCTAGCGTAACCCGTTGATGATGTCGGACTCCAGCTCGTTGATGTTTGATTCCAGCATCTTCTTCTTTTCCAAGCATTCAGCAAGTGCGTGGCCAACTTCTGCTGCATCAAGGCCTTGCTCAACGTACAGTCGCCTTTGTTCCAGCAGTTCTTGCGCCATGGACGCGTTACGTGCCAGCATTGCAGACAGCGTAGAAAGCTTTTGGGCGGTCCGTTGTTCTTGGATAAATAACTTTTGCTCTCGCCAAGTGTCTTCTTGAGCTTTGTCAACGTCCGAACCAACTAATGTGTCAATTTTGTCGAGTAGAGCGTTGAAAACAGCCGTCTGGTCCCGCTTTTGACGCTTGCGATTATGGGACGTTGGTTGTCTTTTGGTACCTTCTTGGGTGGAGTCGTCCTCGTCTTCGGGATACAAGTTGGCAGAGCAGAACTCACGTCCGGCTTGACGGTGCTCACACCACTTGTCCAAATAGTACACGTCGGCTCGACCATCGCAAAAGTCCCAAAAGTCAGCGCTGCCTTGTCCTGACACCTTTGAACCAGCTTCAGCTCTCGCAAAGTGGCTGCTAACCTCCTTCCACATCCTCTTCAACTTGGCTGCCGAATGTGCCATGTGCGAGGAGGTGTCGATGTCTTCAAAGACAGCGTCGCCCGAGATCAATGTGTCGTACTCAGTGGTATCTGAGGCAAATGCATGTGCCACATCAAACCAAAAGGTGGAGCCTCCATCATCGAGGACGTCACGCGGGAGCAAATTTCCGGACGTTAGGAACGAGTCGAAAAACCGATCAGAGAAGAGTACGTTAATGAGCCGAAACATGCAGCCGGCGCTGCGTCTCTCCTCTTCTTCACTAACCCCTTTGGATCGCTTGCGTTGACGAACAACCAGAGCTTGAACGGCTTCTTTGTTTGAGTCCCATGCTTTTAGTAGATCCACACGGTCTTGTTTGCGAGTGTTCTTCACAACATTAAGCTTTCGCGCCGTACACTCAAGCTTGAGTTGATCCAGAGTCCAGTCCTCGTAGCTGTCGGAGGTCGGTGGACGTATGGTGCGTTTGCGCGAGTCGAGCGGTGCGGCCACGGTCCACTTCGAGCTCGGTGCGGGAGCGGCCATGTTGCTTTTGCTTGTTGGCCGGCAACTGCAACTTCACACAATGGTACCACATGTTTGGTACAACCTCGCTACTGGATCGCAATCTCGTCAAGAAGGCCGGATTGCGATCTTCATTATTGACACCTATTCATCTTGCGATCTCTTGGATCGCAATCCACGTTAAGAACGGCCCTAAGGTTAGTTATCCTAGCAACAGACAATTAAATCCTACAAGTTGAAGTTAAATCTTATTAGCCAATCAGAATACAGAGCGGTATTCCTTCCACTAATCACCTTTCAGGAGTCGTGCTTGTAGCCAATCATCGTTTAGGCTGCGTGCCTCCTCGTGCGCAACTCGCTCGAGGCACGAGCCTTGACGTAAAATACGTCTCATTCTTAGCTGCTTCAACGAAGTCTAGTGAATGTAAACCGGTTTCAACGGGATTTCGGGTTGGCCTTTTTCACACAACCGGATTAAACCGAATTTGGACCGGGTCAAATCCGGTTAAACCGGTTAATGTATACAAGTTTCACCTCAAAACAAATTGTTGTATGATGCGTTTAGTAGTGGTATTTTTGCTAGAGAATTTTACCTCTCCCGATCGATATGCCCCGTATCAACTACTAGGGTTCTATTAGATATCAAAGGCTAATAACATGGCAAATGGTCTTTTCTTTACCGGTTTGAACTGAATTCTATCCGGTTTGATTCGGATAATTTTGGACCGGGTCTAACCGGTTCCTATTCGAATACAATTTGGTTTTAACCGAATTGACTTGACTCGCTACATCCTCCATCGAAAACCATCAAGACGATCACACCACTTGATCACGTTAGACCAGCGGTTGTCTCTGTGCATCCATGAGTACTGCAAGGGCCTGGAGAACATTCTGGAGCGCAACAAACAATTCACAAAAGCTTGATGGCTTCACCTGGACATCGCGCGACGAAAGTGTCAGCCTCGTTTTATCCGGATTCTCCTCAATCAGTTCGTCGACATTGGAATTTTTAGCTGTCTCCAAGGCATGGTAGATATTTCTCGTCTTCAAAAACTCTATTGCTGTTGGAAAAATCTTTTCAACGGACTTCGGGCTCAAGCGTACGATGACACCCCCGGGGCGAGTGAAGTCCAAGTACTCGTTCCTACCAGAGCTTGAACAGTTTTGAGTAATGGCTGGAAAAAGCAGACAGATTCAAGAGTGCGAGCATAAGCCGTAAACACCCCGATGTCAGCTGCAAGTTAAAAGTTCCAATAGGGCGGGTCTCTACTGTGTCCGAAGCGCTACGAAAGATAGCAACTAATTCCAACCAAAAGCCCGTCGCAGCATAGCCAAACAAATACGGCACTCCACCATACGACCATTCCAGTTTTTCAGAAACTTTTGACGAAGCAAGCTGATGTCAGCGCCGTCTACTGTCTCCTCACCACGGAGGACGCAGACACCATCAACAATAAACAAAAGTTGGTTCGCTCCGCCGGTGAGGAGCTCGAATTCCGATTGACGTGAGATTGTGGAAACATAAACTCGAGCAATATGCGAATAGTTGTATCCCAAAACTAGATGTAAACACTTGTGCTGACGGCCGTATTCACCCGCGGGCGCAAGAAAACATCGTTGAACACCCGATTCATGAATTTTCGCATGGAGAACGGTCTTTTTCGTCGAACAACGTATCGCGAAGGTCTGCCCCGAGCAATAATGACCATCCATCGATCATAAACTTCGGTAGTTCAATCTTCACAGGGAGAGCTCGTCCGACAAATTTTCGTAGTACTCCAATTGCGGGTAGTGAGGTGGCTGCAACTACGTCCCGATGAAAGATCGTCTGCCATGAGTTCGTGCCATCAAAATCGATCGTACTCCTAGCCGGAGGTACCACCACCAGCACGTAAACTTCGCTCTCATTCGCTTGGAAACTCACTCCAAAGATGTCGGTGCTATTAAGAAACAGCGTGACTTCTTCCATTCGCGCAAAGCCTTGCGGGTATCCATGGTCACCAAGCCTTACATCCACCACACCTGCCGTTTTCAGCCATTGCCGGCAGTTCACCCTCGCCAGAAAGAGTTCCAAGTCGTTAGCATCACAACGGATCTTGTTCCGATTCCCTTCCCAGACCGCTTCAAGTGCCCCACGGTCACCTTGCATTTGGTGGGTGGGTGACCGAACCGGTGTGACTTTGTATTTGCAATGTCGAACCGGTGGGGAATTTCGCTGAGAACACAAAGCATGTTTCGACGACAATCAATCTATTAATCTGAAACCTTTTCGTTTTTGCTTCATGTTGTGATGCTGTGAAGCAGCTTCGCCAGCAAAGCGAAAAGCAGGCGCAGGAGATGCCGACAAATAAGTCTCAGCCTTCGCGCGCCTTCGCTGCATTACGCTGCTCCAACTAGAACCTTTGAGTTTCTAAACAGGGTGACACTAGCGATGATGTCCATTTAGTCGGTGTTAATAGATCAATCGTATTTTAATCACAATTAAGGCTTCTTGTTTTTGAAGTCACTCTCACTCATTTCAACAACAAAGTCATTAATTTTAGTCAGCTTGTCAGGTTATAAAAATCTGTTCATAAACTTGCTAGGGCACTAATACTTTTTGCGTAATTCTGGATTAGTTTTATAAAACATTTAGTTAAATGTATGCTAAAGATTTAGAAAAAAATGTTCATTGGTCAAAATCGAGATAACGCAACATTTGCTTCTTGAATGACAGGTTAGCTAGCAGCAATGAAATGACAATCAAAGGAGCTCATTTACTGCATCCTCTACAAGAACGCCGTGTCCACCCACCACTCAGACTCATAGCCTTCGCCCATGAGAGCCGTAATAGGCACAGATGCATTAAGTTGACCGCTGAAAGAAACACGTTTGTCGGTAGCAGCGCCTGGGCCGCTGTTGTTGAATTCTTTGAACGTAACATTGGCCGTGCTGGTGACACTGTCCCACGTGGCCCAACCTGCCGGGTTGACGACATCACTGAGCTCACTGTTCTGCCAAACGACACGAGCGTAGGGATACCACGGGCGGCCAAGATAGGTCGATCCGTTTCCACTTTTTCCGAAGATGCGTGCACGATTGAAGACGTACTCGGACAGGTTGGAGCTGTTTTGGTTTCCGTTGGCGGTGATCCACCCCTTTCCGATCGTCTCAAAATCGCACGACTCGAACCACGCTTTCGCTCGCATGCCGAAGATGAAATCTACAGCACCGCTGATGTACGACCGTGCGTAGAGCTCACGACCCTTGTGGGCACACAAGGTGTCCTGGTAACCAGTGAAGTTGCAACCGTAGAAGCCGTAATTGGGTGCATCAACGTACACCGCCACTGCCTGACCAAGATTATCGATCTTACCAGTTGGGTTAGCGACGTTAACATTGTACATCTTGACACCACTGCTCGACTTGAGGCGTAGGGTGCTAACGAGGTCGTTGCGGCTGTTCTTGATCTCGGGTGCAAGGTCTTTCTGCGCCATGGTGTGGGTAATCGTTACCTTGTTCTCCGTGTAGGACGTAGTATCACACGTGTAGCCCTGCACCACCAGTGGACCAGCGAGCCGCGGAATCACCACTTGCTCCTGGTAGACGCCTGGGAAGATGAAGATAGTGTGCTCTTCGGTCGTGTTGGGTAGATACAGCATGCCTTCTGCCATGGTCTGGTAGCTGTCATTGTACGCGCCCGTGATATCGACGACGATAGCTCCCGGCGGGGGGACAGTTCGTGCGTACGGTCCACTGCACGCTGTGCTGACTTGAGCCCCAACAATCGATACAAGCGCGGCAAGCGTCACGAGTGGCAGAGCGAAGGTGTGCATTGTCCGTGAGGCAGAATGCAAAATGAACTGACGGCAGCAACCTCTTGCACGCTTGCCAATCTAATGCACAACGAGCAGATCTTGGCTCAGCTTGTCGCGTCGTATATTTCATTTGTTCGTCAACAAATAGTTCCACGGGTTCTTGAAGAAACAGCCCGTGGTGGCTACGAACTTCGCATGTACATAGCGTTATCACATTACGTACGGATCATGTTGCAAAGTAATCACGACTTGAAAAGTACATTCTGACATGCTTCCGCATATACTTCTATTGAATTTAGGACATTGACGACAGACCCTCGCTGCAATAGCCTCTGCTGCTATGACGGCTTCATTAGCAATATATTCACAGTTCCTTTATTTTTCCCCTAATGATATACTGCGTGTGAAGTGAGCTCTCAAGTAGCGCTACACGAACACACGACCAGCGTGAGAAAATGGGTTTCGCATCGCAAGATATACCAGCGCACACGTCATATGCTGCACATACGACGTGTGTTCAATTATGTAGCGCAGATGCGCAGGGCAGCGAAGAGACATACCAGATACAACCACGTACTAGTACATGTGTTAAACCGGTTGGTCGGCTGTCAACTAAAATTTCAAAAAACAATTTTACATTGAAATAACTACTTTTGAAAAAAAAAAAACAATTGGATCCAACACGAATAATGTCCATCCACCGTGGTCCAATTCTCTCAATCCACATTCTTGGGACCCATACCTTGGTCAAATTCTTTCAAATGCCCTCCCTTCGTTTTTTTTTTCTTTTTCTTTCTACTTCTCAGCTTTGGATTACTGTATAATGGTGCCGACACGTTATGATAAGCAGCGCGCTGCATCAGCCAATCTAGGGAACACCAAGAAGCAGAAGATTTCCAATGCACCCGGTAATCTACTTTATATGGTATTGGATTTTGGGTCGTCTATTGTGTGGAATTATTTGGGCGTTGAAGGTGTTTCCAACCTGCTTAAAGTGTGCTCATATCGGATCTCGGGCGATTTCGCTCATATCATGGCGTTAAATGCCATAGGCAAGTTTTGCACCGAGAACAAGGTTCATTTGGGGCTGGGATGTGGCTGCGACTGGATGCGAAGTCTCGATTTTGTTCCTCGAACGGATGACACATGTGTTCAAAGCGTCCCTTTCAGTGTGGACATGAATTTGACAATTCTTCGAATTCCAGGCGGTGCTCAAGCTTTGCTGAACGCTCTGGTTATCGCGCTGAAACTGAAGAAGTTAATCCCTACATATCCTCTTCGTGGAGCTGCCAGATTTGTGCCTGTGATTTGTCCCTTAATAACAAAAGAAAACAAGCTGTGCCCATGCAGTCAGAGGGACTTGACCCGAGCGATGAATGGAATTTGTCAAACGGCTGGTACGCACTACTTTCATGACTACAAAAGAGGCAGGGGTCGCACAATACCGGATTACCTTGCTCAGCACTGGAACGGAATGGAAGGCACTTCCTGCCAGTACTGCAATAATCTGACGGAGCCCCAGAGGAACTTCATGGCACACTGTACCGACGTTTACCGTCCTATTAAAGCTGGCCTCAAGGCCAATCTACAATTTGTGCGTTTTGTTCCACGACGCCGTGGCTTGTACGGTTTACCAAGCGAGTTAAGACTTGGCGGGATGTACGATCCATACGAAGGACTGGCAGCAGGAATTACAGCTGATGGAATTCTCTGTGGATTCTACCAAAAGGACGGGTTCAAGGGCCACTACTATTAGTAGTAAGTGCGGAGCATATCAACACATGTTTGGTCCATATTGGTTACGGATCACTGTGTTGCCGACTACCTGCGCACGTTTGAAAACACGAGATACAATGATTGATGTGAAATGGAAATTTCCATTTTGTGGTGATCTCTCCAATTTAGGCAGTGAGTTACAGTACTTGCCATTTGGCTAACTTGAACAAGTAACCAATATGCTGCTCCAGACTGGGAGCCAAATGAAATCCTTAGTAAGGGTTTAAAGGTCCTTATGAAAGGCCTTCTAAGGATTAGCACTACATAGACCAACTCAGCGCCAGCTTGAAAACACAACAACGTTGCTCCCTTCTCCGTTATGATAATGTTGCTCGGTTTATAGGACTGGGTAGCCTATTCATTAATGTATTCAATCATACCCATGCACCCGCCCAACGTTTTCTGGAAGCTACGTGCCACAAATTGGGTGTTTATGAGCCCAGTCTGGAGCAGTTCTTTATCAAAATTGCAGCAACACGTTCTTTTTTTATTGTTTTAGAGAAGAAGTGTGATGAGTTCGATGGCGAACTTTGATGCTGCATGTTTTGTCACGGGATTCTGGCTTTGTCTCGCTGAGGATTGCCCAGGTAGATTTATCCTTGAGTAGCATTCGCTGCCAATCCAGTCGTGAAAAACTCGGTGAACTTGTCGAAAGGAATCAGATCGACACGATCATAGAGGTCAACGTGACCAGCTCCAGCCACCCGGTATAGCTCCTTGGGCTCAGCCGCACCGGCGTAGGCATCCTCGCTGAATTCGCGAGAGTGTGCTTGGTCACCGGTGACAAACAGAAGCGGACGCGGTGAGATGGTGTCGATGTCGTTGAACGGGTAGAAGTTCAAGAACTTCGCAGTGCTTGAGAGCGTCGGGTGGGTGGTAACGTTGGTCGAAGAGCCCGGCGGCGTGTACTCACCTCGCACCGTACGGTAGAAGTCGTAGAACTCACGCTGGATTTCGGGTGTGTCGGGAGTAAGTTCGTGCACCGTGCCGCTCGTGTACTGCACCTCGCCACCGGCAGTTTCGATAGAGCGCTGTTGGGACATCTGGTCAATGATCTCCTTGCGTTGCTCGACAGTCTGAGAGTGCCTCAAACCGTTGCGGTTTACGGCGCCCATGTCATACATCGAAGACGTGGCAACGGCCTTGATGCGCGAATCGATCTTGGCGGCGCTGATCGCGAAGGATCCACTGCCACAAATACCCAGGGCGCCAATGCGTTCACTATCGATGAAACTCTGCAGAGTGAGGTAGTCGACCGCAGCACTGAAAGACTCGGCGTACAAGTCTGGCGACACCGCGTTACGCGGCTCTCCGTCACTACCTCCCCAGAAGGAGAGATCGATAGAGACGGTGACGAAGCCCTGCTCGGCCATCTTGGTGGCATAGAGGTTCGCACTCTGCTCCTTCACAGCACCCATGGGGTGGCCGACGATGATCGCCGGAGCGCTCCCATTCGTATCGAGGTTCTTGGGAGTGAAGAGATTGCCAGCGACATTCATCTTGAACTGGTTCGGGAACGTAATGGGCTGGATGGTGACGTTATTGCTGCGGTAAAAGTTGTCGGCGTTAAACGACATGTTCTGGGCAGAAGCTGGCATCGTGTGAGCGATTGTCATCGCGCCGACTGCGGCGGCCATGCGAGTTCCCACCATCGTAAATTGCAGTAGAGTTGAAGGCTTGAGTGTTTTAGTGCAAAAAGCAATGTGATTCATGTCTGCTTAGTTTGAAGGCTTGGATAGATATTCCACAGGTGGAGATTCGCCACCTTCATAAACACTGGTTTGATTTAGAGAATGAATACAACTATTAAAAACTACCAAGACGTAAGGTAAAAAAACCTCATCATAATCACAGTCTTCATAAACAAACAACTTCATAAACGACATGTCCGCCAATAAAGCGATAGCTGGTAAGTCTTGACTCACAGTCAACATGGTGAGGTGGAGAAACGTGTCCACTTTTGTCACATGAGAACTGGTGTCCAACGTTTGAAAACTGACTTCATCAACATTGGGGTTGATTTAGCCCTTTAAATAAACGTTAGATCGTTGACAATAATCGAATACATGGTCTATTATGATTGTCATTACTGAAAAATAGTAGCTTAGCGCTTAGCATAGGTGAAGAACAAGTCAAGAGTTCGGTATAACGGAAACTTTCTGGAAGTATGTTTGTTGTAGATACTTGAGCGAGATTAATAATTTGATAGGAACGTAAAACTACGTAGTAAATTGCACTTTTGTGCTCAGTATAGTAACATTAAAAATATCTCACTAATGCCGTGCTGCGCCCGGGAAGCTCTGGATATTTGGATACTTAATATTTAATATTATAATATTATACTAATGAAGTATATACCGTAACAACACCAAAAATAAAACTCGTTCAAAGTATTTATTTTTAAGGAAACAAACTTTTTTTTTTTCTAAAATGCACATTCAAAAAAGTGTTTCTTTTACGTTTTGAAATTCTAAAATACTTTTTTCAAAACGTCTTCATTTCAAAAACTGTTTTTTTAATGGAAAATACCAAATCTTCATTTCTTTGAAAAAGTTCATTTCTTTGAAAAAATTAAATTTCGGCGATAACAAAACCCTGAAAATCTTGGTTCGTTTTAGTTTAATGCCACGGCGTAGCAGGCCAGAGATATGGAGAAAGGAAGGAGTCGGATGTAACGTGAGACGGATAGTGTGGAGGATATAATGATGTATATAGGGGACCAACAGTGAAAGCGCGC